CCCACTTTGCGTCGAACGGCCAACAACCGATTTGCTTTACGCGCTGCCTACGGTTTATTGTTCCTACCTCAGCTCCCTTTACTCCTTCAGATTCATATACCTGCCCGCGTATTATACGGAAATTAACACAGTACCTCGAGGTTAGCCTACCTACTACACCCCTTCCGTCCGCTTTATTTACGGTCCCGCGAGCCAAAAATATTTTCAGAGGCAAAGAAACGACTATTTCATTAGCGGTTCGCGTTTGCCAAACCAACTACTCGTGTCGTACCTACTTGCTCGCGCCGAATATTTCGCTCACCACTTTCCGCTGTTGGTGTAACGCCACTGAAGGAAGGGGGGGGGGAGAGAGAGATTTAACAACTCGTACGTGTACGCGCAATTTCTAGCCAAGTGTTCAAGTATATTTCATACCGCGAGAAGCATTACGCTCGCCGTCTGAAATACGGTAAAGGCTGAATACGTGAAATCGATCAATTATTTCCACCCTATTAACGCAACCGTCGTCGATACTTTCCACCGTTCCTCGGTAATCGATCACAGGGAATTTCTCTCTCTTTTCCGCCGAAATATCCATAACTCCTTGCCCCGTTATAATTCTTAATCCCAAAAGTGCTCGAGGCTCGCAACAGCTCTCCGCGGCGTGCCAGCCTCGATAAAAGCTTTTTAAACGAGACGTCGATTCACCTTCCGCTTCTCCGATTAAACGAAAAAAAAAGAGGAAGGAACTGACCAGAATTAATTACGAGTTTTCTCTTACGGAACTTCTCCTCACGCGGTTCCTCGCCCTTGTCTTCTCTCCGACGTTCAACTTTATCCCGATGGCCTCCTTTCTCTTCACGATCCTTATCTCTGATTTACCGCGGTTCAGTTTCCCTTCTCTCTTCTCTCCTTTTTCCTTCCTTCGTCTTTTCGTCCAAGATTAAGAAGGGATTATTCGCAATAATTCCAACGATTTCGTTACAGTACCCATGGAATCGATGCAGGGAGTGGCAGGACAGAGAGCAACTTTGCCGTGTAATATACAACCCCGTGAGCCGAACGACGCAGTCTCTATGGTGCTCTGGTTCAAAGAGGACAGCGGCGAACCTCTCTACAGGTAAGCCGTCATTGTTATTTACGAGGATCCCTTTCAAATCCCTGCGCTCCTCTGTGTCCGACGTTTCCAACCATAATACCACTGCCGCTGCACACAATTCGATCGTGGCACGAATATTTTCGCCTAATTACCGAGCCTAATGAAACTCGTTGGAGGTATTATTTCAAGTACGATTCCTGGCGAAGCTTACGGGGGGAGAAAGTCGACGATTACGCGAACCTACGAATTCGTCGCAATTTCGTCTACTCGCGGATTTGCCAGCAATCCGGCACGCGGAAAACCGAAACGAAACTGGGATTTCGTTAAGCCGTGAATTGCCTCTGTGTTCTATTCTTTCTCGCGGTCTGTTCCGTCGACAGTCGATCCGCTCCTCGTCGATATCACTCTTGCGTACAGCCCCATAAAACCGGGATCATAATAGCATACATTTCCACCCGTTTTTTTACAATTTTCCTCGATTAAACTCGCTTCCAGGATCGTTCCTCTAGCCGCGACCGAATTCTGACGGGGAAAAAGGCATCTCCGTTTGTCCGGAGCGATTACGGAGCGCGAGACGAAGTTGCGGTAAAACGACAATTTCGAGTTGAAAACGAACCGGCGCGGCGTTACGGCGGCGAGAGAACTAAACGATCCCAATCTCGGTTGCAGAGGTGAGAACGAGATTGCGTAGGAGCGCGGACAGCTGCGTGATACGCGTCAGTTATCCGGCCTGACGTTATCGCGTCTCGTAAAAAGTCTTATTTCGAAACGAGAAAAATACATAAAGCCGAGAGGGAGAGTGGTTTTTATTCTCCCCGTGAACCGTTCTTACTCGCCGAACGATAAAAACTTTGCGAATGTCTTTCTCTGAAGGTGGCGACGATATCAATATTTAATCTCCGTCGCGGATGACAACGGTGAAGGGAAAAGTCGAAATCAGAATCGAAATTCATAGGAATTGGCACGTTTTACGAGGTTACGCCGTAAGAATTCTGGCAGCGATGCTCTCTGCGTTTACGAGACACGCGCCATCCCTCTCGAGTGAGATTAATTTGCTCAAGTGCGATCGAGTTCTCGATCGTTTTGTTCTCTGGGAGTCTTGGCGAGGGATAGGAAGGATCGATGATACTTCTTTTCAAGACTCGAGGAGGCAATAACGTTGCACGGCACGGCTCGTTTTCTCAAGTGGATAGCACGAGTTTCAAGATGGCTGTCGATCAATCCCCTTATTACCCATGCATTGGTACAGCTGTGTGTACATGCATAAATGGAGTTATACAGGATACGCGAACTGCAATCGGGACTACAAATAGCACCGGCTTGTACTACATACACTTACATCATTCCGGCTCCTCCTTTAATTAATGTGTTCCAGCCAGAGGCTCGTAAAGGAAAATGAACGTCCCTTATTAAATGTAAATTACGGCGGACCGTGTAATTAGAAAGTATTAGAATTATAGCCGGATTATTACCGAGTTACCAAACTAACATTTACTCCGCGTATTTCGAGACAGTTTCGCGCGAACGTTAACGCGGACGACGCGAGTATATTTTACACCCTTGGTCGGACGAAAAGACGAAAAGGCGAAAAGCGTTCCTCGTAGTTGTTGAGAACTTTTTAAGATTTTTACGGCCAGCGAGGAGCAAGTTATTCCAGGCAGCAACCAGTTAACCACCCAGCCCGGCTGACAGGGCGGACAATACCACGCTTATTAAACGCGTGCCAGGATTAAAAAGAAACTACTTGCGCATTCAGGAATGTAATAGTCTGCTTTCGTACCTCCGCCGCGCCGTGGAAAAATACACCGCGACAATCTCGGAGGAGTTAATTGCTTCTCGACCGTTTGAAACACAAGTTGGAAGAGACAAATCCAAAACGTGCTACCAAAGGACTATTTCGTAGCAGAGAGAGAGAGAGAGAGAGAGAGAGATCTCGCCCGAAGATCAAACGTCATAACCAGTGTAATCGCACACTCGCCGTCAGACGCATCGGCTAACGAGAGTGCGCCACTTGGTATTTCCGTTCAACCGTGTAGGATCGTTGACACGAACACGAACGCATGTGCTGTCGCTATTAAACTACCTTCCGCCTCCCTTAACTTTCACGTTCTCTTTTCGTTCAACTTTCTGCTGACCGCGATTACTTCTTCGAAACCGCTACGTCGACGCAACTTTCCTCTCCTAATCGAATCGAATTTTCGAGCAGGCGAGAAACAGCGCAAGTCGGCGGGAATCGGGCGATCAAACGACGTCATTTGGTTCCACTCGAGCGAGGAAATCCAGCGGAATCGACGGTTGCGCCGGCAGTAGCCCGGAACTTAATAATTAAAGGGAGCATCTCGCGCGACTACAACCTCGAGATCGTGTAATCGGTCGTGCACGTATGTACACTATACGTACTGTGCACGCGAGATACCACGAAACGGAGCAAAGATCATCAAACTCACATAGAAACTTTAATTACTTCTCGCGATGAATTGCTGGATTGTGCAGTAAACTTGGGGAATACGGACGCGCACCTGTGAACTCCTTCCGGCTCCGTCCGACGGAACCACCGATCCCGCTGACGTCAGATGCTACTCCGGCAAGTATCGCGTTCAACCGAAGCCGAGAGGAACCTCCAGCTCAGCAATTGTTTCACGCTCGACCATCCTTTCGACTATCTATCTCGTTACCTTCGCCTTCATTTTCCACGGCGCGACGTAGGAGGGGTCCCGTTCGAAGGAAAAATTAGGGGCGAGAATGGAAAAGTTTGGTACAGTCTACGGACGATGCTCGATCGAGAAGTCAACTGACCCGTTTTCGAGCTGGCATTGTGGTCGACTTACGTGTATCGTGGCAGGTCGGATGCGCGTTTCACCGGCTCGAATTAACGCGCCATTGTCCATGCGCGCCGTCTCGGACCTCTCGTACGCGCGGAACGCTGCGGTGCAACCGGCAAACCGTACCATCCGTTATTACGGCCTATTGTTACCAACTAACTGTCCGTTTCGCGATTATCTCTTATCGTCCCGTTTAGCTCGACGCTTTTTTTCACTTCCGACCCGCGCGAACAATCGCCAGTCGTTGTTTCACGCCAAACGACACCTTAAATCGGAAAAACGGAACACCGTCCTCTCCCGTCCTCGGCCTATCGAATATCGATCGCAATCCACCACCGCCAGGTCCATCGAATAGGTATTTCGAGACGCGTGAAACCGCTCCCCCGGATCGTCTGACAGTATTCCGTATCCGTACGACGTCCACTGACAGACACATGGATCGAGTAATCACCGCGGTCCGACTGGCAACGAGATTAATCGGTGAAATTGCCAACAGTTTCCATTTCCCCCACGATCCTCCTTTCAATCGGCAAACTAACCCTTTTAATGGTAACCCTTTAAAACAAAGGTGGTGCGTGGACCGTGCAACGTTTCGACCAAAGACATTCGACTAAATGCGACCGTACAGAGGGAGCTCTGTGTGTACAGGTGCATACAACTAAAGGGTTATCGGTGGTACCCGAGCACAATTGATCGGCCGGTTCTATCCAAGCGGTGGAGATTTAACGATAACTCGAACGGACGTTGCTGCACCGAAACCGCCACTGATGATCTGCCGTAGCTATTGATAGATAAATGGCAACCGATCACATTTACATTTGCGAGAGCGATATCGGTGACGCTTTTATCTCGCGTACGCGTGTACGTCCACCTATTTAGATTTCTTGCGCTCGATAAACGACGTCGATGCATTCGCGTTCGCGTTCCCGACCTCTCCACCTACGCATAATAAACTATTTAACGGGAATTCCACTTTTCCCGATAAATATTCCAGACGATTCGACGGAGGTGCGAAAAACTTTTTCCTTTCCACCCATAGCGTATGGTCTCGTACATCTCTATCAACCGTATCTCAATTTACCGTGAAGTAATGTTACCCACCTACCAGAGACCATACATGGAAATATCTGGCACGAATTCAAACGCTTTTTATCGCTGCCGGGAATAAGGAAAAAACACGGTTGAGCCGCGCGAATCATGAACGCGAGAGCATACACTTGCAGCCGCAATAGAGCATCAAATATCGAGGCTATTCGTTTTCCCTGACCGTAAACCTGCAGTTTTTATTTATTTTTCGGTTTTACGCTACCTCTCCGTTTCCATCCAATCAAAACCCCGTGCACGCGTTTGCGCTCTTCGGGTGCCCACTTTACCTCCATCCCCTCGATGCTCGGTCTTTCTGTACGCCTTGTCATTTTACTGCCTCTGTCTAATGTGATTTCCCTTCGGACGTCCTCATTTGTCCTGGATAACGTTTCCCACGGTCACTTGGAACAATCGACCTTTCAAAGAGAAACTGACCCTCTCTCTCTCTCTCTCTTCGTCGTCGGCTTTCCGTTCGCCGCGTAAAATATTACCGCAAAGTGTACGTGCATATGTACGTGTAGAGCAGGAGCGATGTAATTTGGATCTCCGGCGAGAGGAAAATCATCTCGCGTAAAATTAATTAACCGCTTTCACGCGGTCGATAAGCGAGGCGGCGCGCCGGTGCGGAGCGATCGAGCAAAAGAAAAAAGTTTGTTCGGCAAGGTGGATCTTTGCCCGTGGCACACCCGTTATTCCTTTTTCGCCCAGTTAATTAATTAGCGTATGACGGGACTTCCTTTCCATCCTTCGCCTAGCCCCCGTGCCCGTCTATCTTCCTCGTTCACGCTCCGTCCCCTTGTGTTTCGTCGAGCAGAAACTCGTCTCTCGGTAACTCATTAATTTGACGCTACTTTGCAGCGAGAGATTCATTCGAGGTCTCGCGCCTTTCCGAGATTTCGCCGGGAAACCGATATATTCCGCGTCTCGAGAATCACACCGCCACCTTTTCCATCAACTACCCCCGCGCTCCTTAGAATCCTTCTCCCTATGAATTTTCACGCGACGATACATCCGAGTGTTACGCAAACCTTGGTGAATACGCGAGATCGAACAATTCCGCTGCAAACGGTGAAAGAGCGTTAAAGGCAGAACGCGTCTCGATACCGTTTCAATTCTAGCAGAAGCGATCGCGTACGAGGTAGCAAGCCATCGACAGCAATTGCTATTCGTCGGGTTTGTTGAAAGGGAATAGATAGGGAACGAGACGAAAAAACGAACAAAAGCCGCGTCGGCGACGTGAACAGCCGAGCCTTTTATCTGCTTACGCTTTATTTGCATTCGCGCAAACACGGGAGGAACATGGCCGGACGTCAACTCGCTCTCTCGCTCTCTCGCTCTTCCTCCTTCACGCGAGCACACGCACACTTGTATGCACATATCTTCGTTCGATGAACGTAAAAATGTCGCTTCGCAGGATGTTCCTTTTGTTTTCGCCATCCATTTATGCATGAAGCCGTCCCCTGCTTAATCCGTCCCTTTCAAACGGACGTTCCAACTCGTGACGCGAAGGACGAGCTTCGACGACTACGCCGCCCTTCGCGGGTGCTGTCGATTATATCGGAGATAGGAACGTGCTCGTCCTCTCCGTCCTTCTACCAATCTCGATCTCCCGATTTTTCACCAAATTCAGCGTGAAACGCGCTGATTTTCCTCCCGCCTTGTACACGCAATAGGGGCGAAACGAACCGCGAAACCCCGTCGAAATATCACGTTCTCCGCCCCCTTTTGCCAGCTCGACGAGCGGAAATATAAGGAATTTCCGAGGGACCATCTTTCTTCCCCGCTAGATATCCTCCGAGACGCGTAACGAACCTGGGAACAGTCCTTTTCGATGTTTCCGCGTGAAAGGGGACAATGCGCGTCATACATCTACCCCTCCTGTCTTCCACTTTAATACATACAATAATTCTCCCCGACGTACTTGCATTCCTCCATGTCGTAAATACACCCACCAATTTTGTCTGGCAGTAGCAATCTCGGTCGGAACTCCCTGTAATACGTTCCAGCTCTTCTCCCTCCGGCTTTCGATCGCGTTCTCTTTGAGAAAACCCAACTTCCCGGAAATCGAATGCTTCTCTTCGAAAACGTTTCGCCACCGGACAATAAGTATCTTTACGTCGCGTCTATCCGATGTTTCGCTCGTTTATACCAAAGTTGGTTGAACAGAGAGTATGAAAATGACCGTATTGAAATGGGAAGAGCTTACAGGTTGGAAAAACACTCGATACAGAACGATCATCCGTCTTCCGGGATTGCCGCGGAACGAGTGCATTGTGGACTTGACCAATCACCACCTTTTCCGACCACTTTGTCATCCTCCTTCCACCGGATCCCGCTCTTTTGTTCGCGTTCTTCCATTCCGTAAAGCGCTCCTCTCGACGCCGAGTGCCAGGTAGCTAGGATCGAGCCGGCGATCGTGTAAATCACAATTTACTCAAACTATTATTTCTTCCGTTCGTTCGATTAATTTCATCCGGTGCCCGGTTGAAAAGCCGGATTAACAGCATCGAAGAAAATTTGGACTGGCAGGGAGGAAAGAAGGACGATACATACATACATCGGAGGGCGGAGCATGGGAGGTGGTTCCGGATACCGTCGACGATCGTGTAATCGGATATTATATTCACTGATCGGATTGATATCCCTGTCCTATTATGCCGCGGCATGAATTCCATTTTGAAGAATGCCAGGGCGCGATTTCACGGTGATATTTGAACAGAGGCCGGAGTAGGGTGGATAACGTGGTGACGGGTGAGTGGGCGTGGTCCAGGGATCGTAGCAGAGTGGCAGCTAGAAACCAACGATTTCGAGCCATCGATAGGGACGACGGATACGGAAACCGACGTCGAATCGGTAACCAGTCCATCACCGTCGCACCCGCGGGCTTGCCAATTTCCATGCGTTCATCGCTGGAAATGTTCTCCTCTTCGCCCCCACTGTCGAAGAAATTAAAGCGATACACGGCGGGCGAAGACAATCGAGGAATTGCGGGGAAAGAGGTATTTCGCGGTGAATCACTGGTGATCGCGCTTAATCCCAACTGTTATTCGAAATTCATTAGGGCCGCGGTTAAAGCTGCTCGCTTAAATTCATAGGAGGAACTTTGGCCACGTTTACGGCTTTCGCCTAATCCCAATTAAAAATCATTTTATCACCGCGTTACCGAGGAACGTCCGCATCGAGGCGCCACGGCGAACGAAAGGTAACTCGGGCAAATTATATTTTCCGGTGGAGCGGAAACGGAAGAAAAGAAGGAGGGGTCGGGACGAAGGAAAAGATAGAAATGTGCTGCCGCAGTGGCGACGCCGTCTGCAATTACAATGCCTTAATTTTATGCGCCAAGTTAAGCTCCTATTAAGAGTCCCGAGAGTGGTTAAGTCCCCTTCGCGGTCCTGTCCCCCGCCGGGTTTCTGGCTTCTCCGCCGAACACTCGTTTTACCGACACTGGCGTATTCATGGGAAACGTTCTTTTACCCTGCGAATCTACCAAGATCTTCCGACGAGTCGTGGCAATTATTTTAATTTGTTTAGAGACCATTCTCTCCTACCTCCGCCCCTTCTGTCTCCTTCCCCTTCTTCGGACGTTCCCGGTTATTTCAACGACCTCTCCGGGACAAGTCCCCGGGATGGATTAGAAGATTAACGTTGCGATTTTGGGAAACGGTCCGTTACCTTCTACCCACTCTCCGGCATTAATCGAGGACAGATGTCATCGTCGGTGGCGTGAAAAACGGCACGGTGATTAAGAGCTTTTTGCACCATCTCTCGATGCCTCTTTAATTTCTCGTTAATCGTCCGAGACGAAAGGTAAACGAGCGAATCGAAAGAGAGAGAGAGAGAGGGGGGGAAGAGGTATCTTGGCGAGGATCGGAGCTGGTGCCCCTCGGGGAAACTCTCTCTCTCTGTCTCTCGAGTCATCGCGGGCTCGTTAAAAACCAATCCAATTTGTCTTATGGCCACGGACAAAGTGCGCCGAATGAGACTGCCCGGACGTCGAAACTTCACCTCGCCGCTCTCGTTCATCTACCGTGTGACGTCTTATCGCTGAAACTCGCTCCAACTTCGCCGCTCGATTAGACTTACGTACATATACACGTATACGTGTACCAACTGGTTCGCTCTACCAGATAATTGACGACGCGACGCGAAAACTTTGCCGACTGTCCGTAGCCGGTTCGACGACGGAAAGTAAAACGCAGCGTCGACGATCCTTTCAGCGCTACAAACCGGACGAGTGAAATGTCGTTAGAGCATAAGTCGCGGAGGAAACTGCCTCTGATATACCCTCTAACGCCGTCGCGGATAGCTCGATCTTCGAGATAAAAGGTTATTCAGCTCTCTCGGCCGGGTGCACTTCGCTCGGTCTGTATTGAGTTTCAGGCTTGGAGAGCTGGCAAACTCTCTCTCTCTCTCTCTCTCCTTCGACTATGACGAATTGCGAAAGTTGAGTGAAAAATTGGCCTGGAGTAGATAAGGGTGGCACTGTATACGACGCGGCAGAGCGCGGCGAACTTCCTGTCCCAGGCCTTTCCCCCGTTTCCCATATTTATGCCACGCGCGAAATTAATCTTCGTTCGAACCTTCTCTCCGTGTATTTCAGCTACGACGCGAGGAATCGGCAAAGCAAGGCGAAACTATGGAGCGCCCCGCATTTTTGGGGCGACAGGGCGTCCTTCAGAGCGAGCCCACCTGCTCAGCTGACGATCAGAGACCTGCGGGAGAGCGACGAGGGAGTTTACAGATGCAGAGTCGACTTTCGCAACTCGCCGACCAGGAACCTCAAGGTCAACTTCACCGTCATCGGTAAGTCTCGATTGAAATTGGAAAAAAAACACAAGGCGGCTAGCTTCTCTTCTTGGAGCAAGTTTCCCAGGGAAACTACTTCGGAACTGATCAAACTTGCTGGAAAGTGCGATACTTGGACGGATCGCGAGGAATGGGGCAAACGAAATAGCAGGGAAAATCGCCAGGACGCGACGATTGGTGGTTAGTTTGAAACAGGATCGAGAGGCAACCGATCTTTCGGACGTTGCGTTGAAAGGGAGCATCCGCGATCGATTGTAACCGGAGAGCGGTGATTTGCGGTCGATTAGTCCTCCTGCCGATCTTTACCCTTCTCTCGAAACCGGTCGGTCCAATTGCCTGTTCCGTCGCCACTCGAATAATTACCGGCAAACTTTATTCGTCGATCAAGGTTAATCAACCTCCGACTAACTTCGATACCGCTGCACGGCCTCCGTTCCGACCGAACAACCGGAGATCGATACCGCAGAAACTTTTTCAAGAATAGGCAGTCCAACGTTTCCAATCGTGCTGCTGCACCTTATTTTCTCTGGAAGAAATTCGCTGGAAGGCGGAAAGGAAAGGAGTGGCGCTCTTAGGCCCTCTCCTTCGAGTTTCAGTTAAGGTCTGGAGGTAAAGTCCCAAGACAGGCCCAGAGGACGTCGCTTCTTGTCTCTTAATAGGATCGACTCGAGGAGAGAACGCGCTTCGTACTCGCCACGGGACGGAAGCCTCGAGTCCTTTTAGGAAACTCCTTTAACTCAATTTACTCATCGATCGGCTATTAAACTGAGTTAAAGCGGCGACTGCCGATTCCGCTTCGAGGAGTGCCCACGGAAACTTTAAGACGTTCCTAAAATCTGGCGAAAAGTGAAACGCGAACAAAGGAACCACCTCCTGTCCTCGCTACGGTCGCGGTAGATAATGAGACCGTGTTCCTACGATTCTTCGCAAACTTCCTTCGGGAAACTTTCTTCCGCGCCAGCGAACGCAACGGGAAACGGGCAGTCGCGGTTAATTCCGCGTCACTTTCTATCTCTGGCCAAACTGGGCAAAATAAACGAGGAAAGTGAGAATCTTCAAAGTTTCAAGGGTGTTCCGCGTTGCGAGGAAGCGCTTTTTCTTCGAGGACGGAGGCGCGGAAAGAAGAAAACGCGCAAGCCAAAGGAAGATTGAAAAGAATCATCGGAGCAAGTTTCCAAGTTACCCCGATGTAGGATCGGGAGGAAGTAATCGAGTAGACGGTACATCTTGCAGCCGAGAGGCAATCGACGTTGGAACACCGCGGCATGGTGCGGCGGTGGCTCGTTTTACGCCTCGACGCACAGGCGACCGTCAGACGAGATAGGTGTTCCGAGTTAATCCCAAACTACGCTGGGAACGGAACGTCGATGGTAGAAGGAACGCGAAAGGAACAATGGAAACGCGAACCAAGCGGATCAACTTCCTTTCCAGCTCAATCCAAACCAAACAACCTCTTCCCCTCCTAATACGTAGTAACGCTGGCAATAATTGCTTCCTCGTGATACGCAAATCGAATAATACCTTCTTTGTTCTTCCCTTCTTCTTTACAGTCAACTACAACTATAAACCTTTCTTCCTCTCCCTCCTTTTATTCCGGCGCGTATTGTAACTAGTAATCGCGATCCCCTCGGGTTCTTCGAAGAAGCACCGCCACTCCGAGGTTCGAATACCGAGGTCGAGTTCGGCTCGAAACTTGGAAGCGAAAGCTGCCGAAGCGTCGAGTCGGTGTACGTTAATCCGATCAGGATTTAGTTTAGATTTTGACAGGAAACTGCCCATCCCGGCCGTCTAATCGCCGATTACGGAGAAATTAATTCTGCCTTATCCTACTTTCCGCTCGGGCCACTCTACCAGATACATGTCGTAATCTTCCGTATGCCTATTTGCCGATTTATCCACTTACTCTTGGCTATTCTCTTCGTTCAAGCAGGAAACTTTTCGCATCGTTGCCAGCCCTATACTTAACCGCGTGGTTATGCTCTACTGAAAATACGTTTAGCTAAATTATCAGCTCTTCACCCTGGATAATACTCGTAACAGACGAAATGACGAAAAATGGAAACGTCGTCACCGCCTGATAGAGAGATTCGTCAGCCCTAACATCTCTACCCGGGATAGGCTGCATGGAGCGCGAGCTGGCACTAAAGCCTCCGATAGCTCACGAACACGCTAATTGTCTCTAAATGCGTCTAATCGAAATCGGTGGAACGACGAGCCATCAGGAAACGCGTTATGCTTTGAAATACGCATACATAGACGGAACATTCACGCTTAAGCCTCTTACCGATCACCACCCCCGTTAGGCCCCATTGGACGGACACCGATACGTTAAAGGAAAGTAAGGTGGATTCTTTAGGAAAGAGATACGGTGTCCCCAGCGTCGCCAGGGAGATCCTCGTTACCCAACTCGAGCTTTCCTCCTTCTTTTGTGCCTAGCTGAATGACGTCTAATACCTCAGAGTCGATACTCGACGTCGAGTATCTCCGTTTAAGCTTCTTATCTGCAATTACTTGGAAAGATCGGAAACAGTGGAGAAGGAAAGGACTCGCTCCGATGAAATAAGCCGGGCATCAAACATTATAGTTACCCCGAAATCTGCCGGCTTTCAACAGGAGGAAACGAAGCGTTTTCAGAAACACGAGAACACCGGAGTTTCCCGGTGAAAGTTAGGGGGTAATGCACCGAGCATGGGAACCGTCTCGAAATTTCCGTACTTCCTGTCTCAACCTGGCTGACCGACATTTCTTCTCTCATCCACGAATACCTTCCTCGTCCCTGACACACACACACACACACACACACACACACACACACACACACACACACACACACACACACACACACACACACACACACACACACACACACACACACACACACACACACACACACACACACACACACACACACACACACACACACACACACACACACACACACACACACACACTTCTCCTCTCCTAGCACCGTCTATTTTGGAAAATTGAAAGGGCCTGTGTAGCTCGACGTGGAAATTGAATCGGTGCTCGCTCGGTAAGATCTTGTCTGTCTTATAACCGGAAAATACTTCGAAAACGCTCGCAGCGAGAAATGGAGAAAAGAACGAGATCCGGAATTTACGGTGGATTGGCAACACCATCCTTGTGGCCTGAGAACCGTACGCCACGAGCCGAATGCTTTTTTTCCCGGTAACCTACCGGAATAATTTATCGCCCGGGGAATAATATATCGTCCACGTAACTTACCACTCTCTACCCCGGGAAATAGTTTCCGGAGCGAGGAATGGAAACGCAGCAGCGCAAAATTTACCCTCGGTGGGATTGCAGGAAAAAGCAACCGAAACGGGATTACTTCCGTGGACACGCGGTTAACCGGTGTTCTAGAAGAAGTCATGAATCGAACGAAACGAGCATCAATAATGTATGGACCAATCGAACTCCGTGGAAAGTTGGACGAGTACTCGAACGTTTCGAGAGGGTTTTCTCTCGCTGGAAACTTTCACGGAGGTAGGAGAAAGAACCGGTAATTACGGAACTCTGAATAGCTATTCCTGCTTCACGTGATATTATTTACCGCGACGCGTGGCGACACGAGGGTGATTCTCTCTGAAAATTTTGTCTTTGTCTCGCATCTTTGAATTCTCGCGTGAAAGGAAAAGAGAAGGCGGAAAAAGAGGCGATAGTGTTCGGTCTTGCAGCTATTTGAAGGGAGTACAAAGAAAAAAATACGAGCAGCGTATCCGGGCTTCGAAATCGTGTCGTGGAATTGAACATACGTCCCTTGTTCCATTGGTCTTTTTGTTCGAGCGCTTTCTGCCAGTCTTTTTCCCGTTGGTTTTTCAGCAAAAGTTCAGCGATGGCCGGAGGCTAGCTACGAAAACACGACGGTGCTCATTAGCCGGAAGGACGTCTGCGGGAATTTTAAAGCATCCTGTTTTCCAAGGAAACTCGAGGATCGATCGTTTCGTCGAGTCGACCGAGCCACAGGCTGTTTCGAGAGAACGCGCGGCTACCCAACTTCCCTTCCTTCTCCTCCTATTCGCCGCATTTTTTCGGACAATACGACAAGTAGGAAGAAAGGGGAAGATCACGCGGAAAGGGGAAGTACCGCGTTCTCATTCCGACGATACAACAATTCTGCGACCGTTTCGATCGACGCGAGGACAGAGCTCGAACGAGAGAAATTTGCCATATTTTTCTGCTTCGAGAGGCTCGTTCGTCTTTGCCGACGTTCCCGGCAATTCCTTCACAGCCGTTCCCTCTCCTCCTTATATCTTATGCAACGTGCTAGATGAAAAGAATTCACCTTCCGTGAATACCGCGCTAGCGCCGGCGATTTTCGGCGGAACGTTTGCCACGGTGAAACAGATAAGAATTATTTCTATGCGAAAGAGGAGAGCTCCTTTCATCCTCCCTGTATCGAACATCCTTCTTCCGACGATCGTGCAGCCGTTCGACCGCGGGAAGAATGTAAATTTGCCGGTGTAATTTATAATTTTCAATTTCACGGCTCCGCGGCGCAGCTTCGAACCCGTTTCTCGGCATCCAGGCGAAAAATTGGAAATGAGATATAGCCTGTTTTCGGTGGGCGAGGATTGTGCTCGGAGGGACACTGTTGATTACACTCCGGAAAAAGATCTGGACTTTGCGTGACTGTAGGAAGAGGAGAGCTCGAGAGGTTGCAAGTTATTCGAGTCACGCGTAGGATTCACCGTCATTCCCGATATTCTTGCTAAGGCGTATCCTGTCCGCTGGTGGCTCTCGAACGTGTTCCGATCGAAGGTCCTCCAAGTTCCCTCCTCTAACGTGCCGGCGTCTCGCATTCCGGTTTCCCTCAAAGACGTTTCGACCCTCTTCGAGCCCTCTAACTCGAGATTGCGTAATCAACGCGCGTGCTCCTTCTCCAAATTGTATCTAGATCGTTCCTTCCGGACAGGGAAACACGCGACCAATTCGACCGAGTATACTTGTTACGGATGTGGTTTCCTAACAAATCC